ATCAAGTATCATTCTATTGGTATTGTTGAGAGGTTTAAGATTCAATTGGTTGCTAAAGGTTACACTCAGATGTATAGTATTGATTATCTTGAGACCTTTGCTCCTGTGGCTAAAGTGACTTCAGTTTGAGTTCTGTTATCTCTAGCGGCTACTTTTGATTGGCCCCTTCATCAATTTGATGTAGAAAATGCCTTTTTGAATGGAGATCTACATGAAGAGGTCTATATGTTTTTACCTCCAAGAGTTGTATGGGAAGGAAATGCAAGGGAATGTGTGTAAATTGAACAAGTCTCTTTATGGTCTCAAACAGTCTCCTAGAGCTTGGTATGAGAGATTCAGAGCTGCCCTTGTTTCTTTTGGTTACATGTAGACTCAATTTGACCATACTTTATTTGTAAAGAGAAGTAATTCCTTGGTGACCTTTTTGATTGTTTATGTTGATGATATTGTAGTTATTGGTAATGACACCAAGGAAGTGGTTAAGCTCAAAAGGTTTCTTAACACTGAGTTTGAGATAAAAGATTTGGGGGATCTTTGATATTTCTTGGGAATTGAAGTTGCTAGATCTAAAGATGGTATTTTTATTTCTCAACACAAGTATGTCCTTAATCTCCTTGCAGAGACTGGCAAACTTAGTGCTAAACTGGCCTCCACCCCTATAGACTTAAATCACAAGCTTTGTTCTATTGATGGTGAATTGTTGTCATATAAGGGAGTGTTGCAGAAATTGCTTGGGAAGTTGCTATATCTCTATATGATTCGGCTAGATATCTCCTATGCAGTGAGTGTCATTAGTTAGTTTATGCAATTCTCCTAGAGATACACATTTAATAGCTGCAAAAAGAGTTTTATGTTACTTGAAAGGCACTCTAGGGAAAAGTATCCTATTTTCCAAGCATGGACACATGAAGTTGGAAGCATACACTGATGTTGACCGGGCCGGATGTATTGATGATAGGAGATTCACTTCAAGATATTGTGCTTTGGTAGCAGGGATTCAGGGAACATTGTCTCATGGAGGAGTAAGAAGCAGTCTGTGGTAGTTAGATCTTTAACTGAAGCAAAGCATAGGGTAATGGCATATGGAGTGTCAGAATTATTGTGGCTGAAGATCACTTTTGGGAGAGTTGGGTATTGATTGTGAGAAGCCAGTGATGCTCTATTGTGACAATCAGGTAACTATCAACATTGAACATAATCCCATCCAGCATGACAAAACTAAGTATATAGAGGTCGATGGACACTTTATACAAGAGAGAGTTGCTTTAGAGGAAGTTTGCTTGCCTTTCATTGCTTCAGAGGAGCAGTTGGTTGATCTCTTGACCAAAGGTGTTCCAAAAGGAAAATTGATTCACCATATATGCAAGCTGGGCATGATTGACATCTATGCTCAACTTGAGGGGAGTGTAGAGAGATTGGGCTGAATGGGCCTTAGTGCTTTTAAGTAGTGTTCTGTTTATATTATATGTGTTAATGGGCCTATTAACTTGTTTTGTTTTCTTTTAAGTGTTTTATATGCTGGCTGCCCACTTAAAGGGCAGAGATGTAATTAGTCTAAGTTAAGTGAGATTAAATTAAAGATTAAGAGAGAGAGAGAGAGAGGAGGGAATCCATCGAACTCTCTTCTCCTTCTCTTCTTCTTCTCCATCTTCTTCTTCCTTCTGCTGTAATCACTTTTCTTTGTTCTTTTTACTGCTGTAATCAAATTTATTTATCAGATTTGAAGGACAGGTTTACATATGTTTCCAAGGCTGCAACTGTCAAAATTGAGTTTGAGCACCTCTAGATTAAGAGGGGACCAATCTACCATCCTTTGTTTTCGTGTACGCCATAGTTTTCAAGGCGCCAAGGCGAGGCTAGGCGACTCGGGGGCGACTACTCGCCTAGGCGATGAATTTTTTTATATTAAAAAATAGATCTTAGGGTAGTTCCCTAGGTACCATAACCATATTTCTTTAATAATTATTCATGGTTTTCATAAGAAAAGTATAAATTTCATATTAAAGTATAGAAAATCAACATATTCATGAGAAGAAAAGGAAGAAGGAAAATGAAATTCAAAAAATATAGGGGCTGAACCCTTATTTTTGTT